GGCTGCCGTTGCAATTACCGTTGCAGTTACCGTTGCACGCGCGAGCCGGGCGCCCCAGTGGTGCGTTCTGGGCGGACACACGCGCGCGCTTGCTTCGCTTGCTGCCGCGTTCGAATTTGGCGCGCGGGGCTCGGGGGAGGCGACATCGAGTGCGGTGACGTCACCAGCGCGCCTCTTCGCTCCTCCCTCTTCTCCCTGCGGGGACAATGCCGCGGGGGAACGTACGGATGGCCGTAAGGGCCAAGCCGGGCGCCCCAGTGGTGCGTTCTGGGCGGACACACGCGCGCGCTTGCTTCGCTTGCTGCCGCGTTCGAATTTGGCGCGCGGGGCTCGGGGGAGGCGACATCGAGTGCGGTGACGTCACCAGCGCGCCTCTTCGCTCCTCCCTCTTCTCCCTGCGGGGACAATGCCGCGGGGGAACGTACGGATGGCCGTAAGGGCCAACAACTGTCAGCGAGTGGGGAAGAAGAAAAAAAAAAACCAAACAAAGCAAAACCAATCGATTCCGAGCGAGTGAGGGAAGGCAGCGGCTGAGCGCCGAGCGCGTCGCTGGGGCAGCCTGGGCGCTCCAGGGGCAGGGTGGCCCACGCTAATGGAAAGCTGCAAGTGCAGCATTTCCACTGCATGGCCGCCACCCTCCCCGCAGAGACCACGTGTATCGATTCAATACAAGCTCTTGGTTGCCTGCTCATTTAGGCCCATCTGTCACTAGCAGAGGTTGGGCCAATGACAATGTGTCCTCCTCCACCTTGTTGCTCTCAAATCCTGGAGCAGGGATGCTGGAGAGCGTGTAATCAAATAGTCCTGTGACCGCATCACATTTTAACAGCTCCACGACTATTGGATAGTTCCCAGGGGCGGGGCAGCAGCCAGCGCACTCCCAGCCCCACTCCTAGGGAGGCCCGAGGGTTCCCAGATGGTTTCAACAAAAATACCGGACACACTTGATCTCCAATGGGAGGGGAGGTCAAAGGGGACAGGGGGAGCAGGGCTGGTGGGGGAGGGCGGGGGGGGGCGCGGGGGTGG